AGAAAAAAAAAAAAAGCTAACAAATGGTTTGAAAAGCACTTTTTCTATTAGTTCTCAAAATTATAGGAGGACTAGTAAGGTGAGAAAAAAATATCTAGCAGACATGGCAGAGAAGGCTTTTGCTTTGATAATGTGCAGATGCGAATCACCTGGGGAGCTTGTGAAAATGCAGCTTCTGACTCAGCAGCTCTGGGCTAGGGCCTGAATTCTGCATTTCTAACATGCTCCCAGGTGTTGCTGATGCTGCTGGTCCACCGACCACTTTGAGTAGCAAGATCTCGGTAGACAAAGAAATGAAATGTGGCTCAGCCCAAGTCAAGGTGGGTGATGATCAGATTTGTTCTTACCATTAGCTTCGGATTTTAGGTAGGAGTCGGCAGCATAGGCAGCTTGCTTTTCTTTTTTTAGGGTGTCATCTGAAAAGGAAGCTGTGCACAGAAGCCATTATAATCTGGTATATTCTCTCCCTACCCCTCCCAGCCCTGCCCTGATCCGGGAGGTCAAAGCGAGCCTGTTAAAAAGAGAGCCCATCTTTCCTGGGGTTAACCTCCCCACTCTGTACTTGTGGTTAGACTTGCTGTTGCCAAAGGACCCCTCTGGAAGCTCTTTGCCTGAGTTTTCCTGGCTCATCTGCATTCGAGGCAGACCCGACTGGAGCAGGCATTTTTCATTAGAATGGGGCATCTGTGGTTTCATGATTAAAACCATGGTCTCAAACCACCTTGCTTGGACATTCGGTCTCCTACATTATTTGCCTCTTTCCTGAAACCTGAGAATGCGTACTTGCAGCGACGCTGGCAGGGGAGGCAGTAAAGACCTTCCCACTGTCCTTGTTCATGATCAGCAGCTCCATCTCCTTCTTAGCTGGCACGTTGTCCTTCTCCAGGATCAGGAACTTAGAGTCCTTGTGCAAGAGGTCATCACTCTGGACACTGGTGGTGCAGGCTGGGGAGGAAAGAAGTGGGCAAGGAGGAAGGAAAATGTGCCAAGAGAAGGGAGAGGGAAGAAGTGACCAGAAGAGGAAGGAGAAAGGAGAGAAAGAGGAGGAAGGAGGAAAGAGATTAGTGGGTGTGTATGAGGGTCTCCTCTTCTCACTGCCAGTGGTTACTGGGAAGCATCTTGGGGGGCAAGGACACTCTCCCTGCCTGTCTGGACCAGGCCACCAGGAGGTTGGGTCAATGTCAGTAGTCCTGGGTAGCTGGTCTACAGGGCTGACTCCTCATCTGGAGATTACAGGATCTTTATCAAATGGGTAAGAATCCCCCTTGTCAGGCAGTTCAACTAACTCAGTGAGTTCATTTTTTTTTTTTTCCTTTTTGTCTTTTTTCGTGTCCGGCAACGGATCACAACCCTCAGTGTCCCGCCCATACCGGACCGGGACCGGCAATGGGATCACAACCCTCGGTGCTGCGCCCGCACCTCGCTCAGCCAGTGAGCAGGAACCAGTCTGTATGTGGGATCTGAACCCTCGGCGGGAGCGCCGCCGCGCTCCTAAGCGGCGCACTGTAGCAGTGCGCCACCGGGCCGGCCCCAGTGAGTTCATTTTTATCTTTCAGGTTTCAAGTGTTACCTTCTTGGAGAGGCTTTTCCTGACCACCCCATCTAAGGCATCCCACCCCCATACACACTCCTGCCTCTATAACATCCCTTATTGCTTTCCATAAAATCAGTGTCATTTTCAGTAATTATCTTATGTATTTTGTCTATGTGTTTGTCATCTGCCTCCTCCGCTGGCTTTGTCAGCTTGGTGAGAACAGAAAATCTATCCTGTCTTTTTCACTGCTGGACTCCCAGTACTTAGAACACTGTCTGTCTACAAGTAAGTGCTCAGTAAAATTTTTTTAAATGAGTGAACTGTTGAATGGAAGGAAAACACACCAGGATCAGAGCAAGGAAGAAATAGCTCACCCTATGGTGTGAGCCCAAGTTGATAAAGACTGTAGAAAGCAGGGAGGGTGCCGGCAGCTTCTGAGGGGCTCCCTGGCTCTTGTGATGGGCTACATGTAACAGTAGAAGGGCAAGGGCTTCCAGACAAGGGTGGTGGCTGGCAGGTAAGTGCCTGACCCTAGGCAGGTGTGGAGGGTGCAGTTTCCTGACCCCTTGGACAGGAAGGCCAAAGTAAGTTCAGGGGGTGCTCATCCCTGTTCATTCATGGAAATATCCGAGAGACCCTTGAGGTGAGTCCCATTTGTGGACCTCAGACCACCCTTGGGTTCCATCCCCTTTTCCAATACGCCATGTATCACAGTGGAGCAATTCTCCCTGTGTGCCAGCCTGACCCCTGGCGGCTGGGAGCAGCCCTCACCTGAAGAGGTGGACACACCAGTGCTCACAACGGTAGGGCTCTGGGGCATGTTTTTCTTCACACCATATGCTGCAAGAGAAGAACCACTGAGTGAGCTGGGCCAGCATGGGAAGGCCACTCCATGTGGCTCAGGAGCAGCCTGATCAGCCTTGGCAGAGGAGCAGCCTCCCCAGGTGAGACGCAGATGATGAATCAACTCTTTCCAGCCATAGGGACAGCAATGAGGGTTTATATGGAACATTCTTGGGAATGACCCTCTTCATCCTTCTAGGACCATTCCAAAGGCCACCTCCACCAGGAAGTGATTCCCTACAGCCCTTAACACGTGCTCTGCATCACCTAAGTCCTACTGACTTAGGACCCTTCATTGTCTGATGTATGTTAGTCNAGATGATGAATCAACTCTTTCCAGCCATAGGGACAGCAATGAGGGTTTATATGGAACATTCTTGGGAATGACCCTCTTCATCCTTCTAGGACCATTCCAAAGGCCACCTCCACCAGGAAGTGATTCCCTACAGCCCTTAACACGTGCTCTGCATCACCTAAGTCCTACTGACTTAGGACCCTTCATTGTCTGATGTATGTTAGTCTTTCTACTCCAGCTAAGTAGTAAGCAGATGGAGGGCAAAGGCACAAAGGTTGCGTCCCCACCCCTCCAGGTTTGCATGGGGGCAATGACCTACGGGAGTGCACCATAAAATCAACCAGATGATTTATTTGCAGTGACAGTGGACTGTCAAGGGCAGCATTGAACTGGTGAGACCACCGACCTGACCAGTTTGGCTGTGAGAGACACGGGGACATACAGGTGACACCTCACAGGGTGTAGATGCCATTGACAGTACAGGCTCCCCTGTGTGTTTAACTCACATCTGAGCCAGCAAATGATCAAGGTTGGCATCTCTCGGTTGGTGTGTGTGTGGGGGGGATACTATTTCTTGGGTGGGAAAGGTTGGTTGTTTTTCAGGGGCATTTTGGTCCTTCTAATTCAGTTGCTGAAAAGAGATATTGTCAGTTGTAGATGCAAAGAGGTGTCACTTCCCATCCCTTGCACTCCAAACCTAGGCTACTGACCTGTGGAAGTGGTGAATGTGCCATGGGACAGGGCAGACGAGCTGGGGGCCAGATTGTTCTGCATGCCAAATACTGTGAACGCAATTGAGGACAGGTAAGTACAGGGTGCATAGAAGATGCCCCTCAGCTAAAGGCAGCCCTCCTGGAGTCCCAAGATCACTTTCATGATAAATGTCTTTGTAGATGACAGAAATTCTCAAACTTTCTTGGTTCCTATACTCTTAGTGACTCAGTGATTTTTTTTATACCCCCATCTCCCCACCCCAGGCCAAAATTTACTAAGTTTCATTTATTGAGTAGTGTAGTGTATTGAATTATGTCCCCCCCAAACTCACTGGAGCTTGAATTGTTTCCCCCAAGTTTTATGTATTAGAAACTTAGCCCCCACTATGAGTGTTAAGAGAGTGGGAAATCCTGTTGTGATAATTGAAAGGTGGGGCCTTGAATAGGTGATTGGATTGTAGGACTGTGCAGTAGTGAATGGATTAAAAATGGTGGTCAGGGGTGTGGTTTTGAGGGCTTTAAAAGAAGAGGAAAGTCTTTGCTTTCTCTGCTTCCACCATCTTGCAATGTGAGACCCCTGGGTCACTGTGGCCACCACTAGATGGACTTGGGACTTCCTAGTCTCAGAAACTGTAAACAATAAATTTCGTTTTTATTTATAAATCACCTAGTTTCAGGTATTTTGTTATAAGCAACAAAAATGCACTAATATAAGTAGTTAGGTCCACACAACTTAATAGCAGTAGTTAGCTACAGAGTCTGCTGTATCTCTTAAAATATTAAAATATCCCAGGGGTTCCCTGTTCCCTGTGGCACTGTGGGGAGTCTTGGTGCACAGTGTGGGCACTGTGGACATAGGACATGGACACAGCAGGGGCTAACAGGCACTAACGTGGCAGATCCCTAGTTTTCCCTTTAACCCTTCCTTCTGATGCAAACATGTAATGATGCTCCTCTCTTCTCCATTATGATTTCGAAGGCTCCTTGTTGATCTGATTGCTGGTTTGTTTGTTTTTAACTATGTGCAGAAGTTCATTCCTCCCTAGTCAACAGCTTCTGTAATTCCATCCTTTCTAGTATTTGGGATGCAAGGTCATGGATCCAGTATCAGCTCCCCTTCCCCTGGGGCCTGGCTCACTCAGGACTTTGCAAAGCAAAATAGCAAAGGTAGAAGAATGCAAGCCTGAAGCCGATGTCTTCCAGTTTTGAGGGGACCCTAGTAAACTGGAGGTAGGTGTGGAATATCTGAACACTAAATTTGCACTTGCAGCTACATTGGCCAAGTAAATAAAGAAGGCCCACATCATTATATTTATTAATATCACACTATCACAGGGAGAAGGCAGATTCCTTAAAAAAAAATGTGGCTGCTAACTTATTTACATATAAGCTATTACGATGTATGTGAAAACATAATGAATAAATATTTCTTTAAAATGGTCATATGATTGCACTGGAAGCGAAGCAGTAACATTTACCCTAGTGTAGTTACTCTAACTGACTACCGTATTTATAAAAAGATCAGAAATAAGATCCTTCTATGTTAGGAATGTTTTTCACCCTGAACATGTCCTCAGCCCCTTTACTTCCATTTCTCCAACTCTCACAGAAAATAAAGGGGCCAGCACATAGTAAACACGTCAGCGTGGGCTAGGCCCCTCCCCTCAGAACCTTCCCCTGGGCACTGAGCTCTGTCTGTGCCTCCTGCCCTCTAAATGCAGCCCCCTGGCCTCTGCTTCTGGGTTGCAGAGCACGTGGAGGAAAGACAGAAGGGATGCCTTTACTAGAAATCATTCTATTTTCCCCACCAGGAGACAGCACTTTATCTTTTTAAGCAACAGCCTGGAAAAGACAACTCTCAGTGGCAACACTGACCTGAGGAGCAGGTGCTGAGTCCGGGCTGCAGGGTGGGCGAGCAGGATGCCATGTTATTAGGAACTCCAAAGACTGCAGGGGAGGGAGGAAGGCTGGTGAGAGAGATGTCCAGCTCCAGATAGGGACAGAGGCTTGGATGCCGTGGAAACTCCAGAAGAAATGCTACGGTTGGGTTTTTGCATTTTGGCAAATTTTTATTTTAGGAAAAACTTGGGCTCTTGCTTTGCAGGAGAGAACCAAATATTAATCTGTGGTGTACCTTGGATCAGAGCCAGCAGGTGGTCATGGGTCAGGTAGACCTGGAGTGGACAGTGTGTCCAGCCAAAGGCTCTCTTGCTAGTGACCCATCTTACAGAGAAGTTAAATGACTTGCCCAAGGTTCCACAGTCAATCCACACTGACTGAAAGTAGGTCTCCTGCATCCATTTTCTTTTCCATTTTATTTTTCTGATACACTGTAGTATGTACAGTATTCCTTTCTATAGAGGACCCACCAGAAGAAACACCTTCTAGACTGAATCGTACTGAAGTTCCCGTGGGAAACTCTTGGGACGCTTGGCTGCAGAAGCCTCTCCAGGAAGCC